TACAACGTCCATGGGGTCCCCCGGCTTTTACGGACACACCCGCACTTGTGTGCGGAACTTGTAACTTGTATACGATCACTGCTGGTAGGGTGAGGAGGGCATTTGTTGTGTGGGCGTGTCTCTGTTTTGATTCAGTTACGATGGTTAGGTGGTTGGGCAGGGGTGAGTGAGATTAATGCGATTAGGCGCGTGGATGTCCCGTTGACGAAGACGCATCTTACCGAGCTTTCATTTGGTGCTTCTCTCAATTTTTTGGTCCATCATAACTCCAATATTGCATCGTCATCGTGTTTGTCTTCGCCGCTGTACTCTTCTGGTCCGTGGCTGCATTTTTGCGGGTGCTGTTTGTTTCTTACATAATAGGTTGTGAAAGTTTGTTCACAGCGCGAGTGGTCACGGTAACGACTGTTTACGTTGCCAAGAGCGGAAAGGGAGGGGGCCAAACACGAACGCATACACGCATATACACTAGGGTTTTTGTGTTTGACTAGGGTGACTAGATGAGGGTGTCCCGAAATACCGGGGAAGGCAGGGTTTCGCCGGGTAGCGGCCACGGGTGAAGCTATGCCCCCCTGTCCCACACATCATATACACTCATGCGTGCTTTTCAACGTGATCCCCCCTCGTCCGTCATAGCTCTATCGCGCTTCCTCCACATACATTAACGAGCTACGCTGAAGTGGCGCGTTGACTCCTTGGCTGGTAAAGTAGACACGCCTTTGCAACGCATCGGGAAAAGCTATGGCAGAGACCCACGTACTCTGTCCTGTCGATTGTTTTTGCAGCACCGTGACTGTTGGCAACTCATACCACAATACCATGATATCTCATGAAGGGACGAACACTAAAGGGGATGTATTTCCCTTCGGGGACGAAAAGGCCCATCGGCTCGTCGACGCGTATTGTGTTCCTACTGTGTTGATTGTCGTGGTTTGCAATTAATTTTGCGGCATGGTGGCGACTCACATCACCTGTAGGTGTGGTAGCCATGCGAGACTGCGGTTCGGAATCATAGCTTTGATCGGCTTGTGACGGGGCCGATGCTGCCGACAGAACCTAACTTTGGTAGAAACGGTAGTCCCTCCTCTCCTGCCGCGTCTAAATAACGATCGGCTGGGGTTGTGTATTAGCTTGAGTTGGGTTTCGTAGGCTTGCTGTACTTCGTCCCGGGGTGATGTTTCAATGAATGCAGTCAATTTCCAGACAGTATGCATGTTATAGAATGTAATGCAAATTTGAGTTTTAGTTGCCGGTAGTTGCCTTTCCGCTTAGGGGTCGCCCAGACGGAGAGGTACCTGCAGGCACGTTAGTTGTGCTTGCTTCCGAGGGAAGTGGAAAGCCTGGTTGTTACCGATTCTGCTGCTGTACACTGTAGATAAGGGCAGAAGCCGCATCGGAAACTGTCAGTCCTGACACTATGAACTCGTTCCGGCGCACTCCTGCGACTTACTCTACGGTCCAGCCGTACGCACCATCGACATTCAACCGAGTTCGCTCTCGGCGAATACTCAGAAAACCTTGGTTTTCTTTCGCTTTTACTCAGAAAACCTACAGTTATCCATCTTGTTGATCTGAGCTGGTGGGGCCTGGTAAAAGTCGTTAAGGTAGAAGACACACGGCCTTCACCCCATGCGCAACAGCACAAATTCACATGTAAACAAACCCACCTGTACTTGAGTTTTTTTTGCAGCTATAGCTTAAAAAACCGACAACACGTCCTATGACGTTCGTGAAGCTTCGTAGCTTGTCAACGCCCGACCCGCCGCACTTAATGGCATAGAAACCCCCCCTCATGCCCTCCCGCGCTCCACATATACATACTCATACTTAGCGCGGTGCTTCCTTCGGTGCGTCATTCCCACGGCTGACGTCATCCAGCAATCTAATGGTCAGGTCCGTGCAGTCTTCCTGGTTCTGTTGGAAGCGCGTCATGTGCTGCAAGGCTCTCCAAACGCACGTTACGAAGTGAGTTTGCAGCCGGATGAGTGCGACATTGAGGCGAGTTGCGTCAGCGTGCCCTCCTCCCGTGCCCTCCTCCTCTCAGCAACCGCTGCTGCTGTTTCTCTGCCGCGATGTTGCACGCCACGCATCGTGCATGGCCTGAAGGTCAGCCTCAAGCTTCGCGCGTCATCGTCTGTCGTCTTCCTGGCGCCTTGCTTGCCTCCACGCGCTGCAATCTGTCGGTCATCGCCTCAACAGGTCGGCTGCGGCTTGGCCCGGTTGAAACCGCAAAGGCAGGTCTTTTGCGTGCGCTAGGCCGAGGCGCACACACACACACACATATACATACATACACACACGGGCACAGTGGGACTCACACGAACCTTTCCCGTGAACACAAGCACATACAAGACACCTCCCTTTGGTGGTTCTTGATTCTGCCGTACCAGTCACTTTCTCCAGGGTACGCTCCCACACATTCACACGCTGCACTCCGTACACTCAGCACCACTCATCCCAAACTGCCTACCTTCCCGTCCTCCTTGCCGCCCGACCCCCTCCACGTCCAGGAGGAACCTGATGGTCACCGCCCGTCAAAGGCCCCAAACACCCAAATACACGATAGCTCTCCTCGATATGCAATGCATGGGGGCGTCATCGATGTGCCCTTTAGGGTATCGACCCCACCCCAACCACCCGCATCCATCCCTCTCCCATAAACCCACATTGACACTCATATGCACATACATACGCACACACACGCTCACTCCACATCCACATTACACACGTACACCGCAGAATACATCCCCTACATGTACACGCACACACACACAGCCCTCATCGCGGCTCAGATGATTTACACACACATATAAGCACGCACCACACAGTCATGTCACATCGCCACTGCCGCCGCCAGCAGCAACAACGCTTCATTGGATAGCCCCGGCAGCACCAACGACAGCAACGGCAACAAAGCCCAGGAAGGCCGAACCCTTGTTTCTCCTCCTCCTCCCCCTCCCCCTCCTCCGCCACCAAGACCATCACCGGTCAATCCCGCCTTGGCACCCCCAGTGCCCTGCGTCGTCACCGTCGCTGATGGTTGCATCATCACGCGGAGCTGCGTCCAGGCCGGCAGCGCTCGGAGCTGTGCCAGAGCCGCGTTGACGGTCGCGAGCGGGGGCAGGCCATGCAGTGCCAGGCAGGTCGCCAGCTCCGATTGGAGGTCGGCTTCGGAGGCCAACCGGGAGATACCTGTACGACGCAGTACAGCAGGATACGGCGCGGCATGTATGCTGTTAGGACCATGATGTCCATGTCCATGTCCATGTCCATGTGTGTGTGTTGTGTGTTTTGCAAGTGGCATCTTGGGGACAGACCAAACAGGAATGCGTGAGTGCGTGTGAGGTAAAGGATCTCCATAAGCGGCAATCCTGGTAAAAAGAATTAGTACTAGCAGGCCGAACAAGTTAACAAAAGTCCGTAAGGATGGCCCGCGGGGTTACAGGCGTATTGGACAACCTCTTCATCTTTCTTTTGGTGCCATACTATTGAACGGTTGCGAGCGGTTGAGAGGTGGGGGGGAAGAGGGGAGGAAAGAGGGATTGTTTCAACCCGGCCTCTCACGCCGGGTGGCGACAAAAAGGGGAAGGGAAGCCGTAAGGCGCTGCAACTTGATATGCTGCCACAAGTAAGGCCCAAAGTGGGACGAGAAATCCCTTACCGGGCACGACGGATTCGAAATCTGCGGCGCTCAGCATGCGACCCTTTCGAAGGTACACCTCCAGAGCGCTGCTACTGCTATTACTGGCGTTACTGCCGCTGCTGACTTGGCCCGGCGGCGGCGGCGGCGGTGGCGGTGGCGGCGCTGCTGCTGCCGCCATGGCGGTCGTCGCGGCTGCACCCGGCGGCGGCAGCAGCCCCATGGGTCGCCAGCGGCGATGCTGCAACGCGCACCATAAGCTGTCCAGGAAGGCCGGCTGTAATAGCGGTCGCCATAGCGCCTGCTCGTCCAAGTCAACGAACACTTCGCCGGCGGCGGCGGCAGCAGCAGCCGCCGTGGCGGTGGCCAACGGCCCGCCGTAGTACGTGCGCGCCAGCTGCAGCCCCCGCAGCGCCGGCGCCAGCGGCACTAGCGGCGCCGTCAGCAGGCTGCCGGGGTGCGTCGGTGCCAGGGCGGTTCCCGAAACAGCGCTGACCCACGGGTCGTTCGGAAGCCCAACCGGCGGGCCGCCGTTGCCGACCCACGGGTCATTCCACAAGGCGGCACGGTGTACGAGGCAATGCAGATGGAGGTACATGGGCAGCGCCGCAGTCTTCTCGCCAGTGATGCATTCGTACAGCGCGCTGTAGCAAAAAGAAAGTAGATCTGCGCCGTGGCGACGGCGGCGTTGCCGCCTCCGCCTCCGCAGCTCCTGCTGGTGCTGACCTGCAGCCGGCGGCGGCTGCGGCGGCGGCGCGAGCAGGACAAGCCCGCGGCGGATACTACCGGGCCCGACGGACGATTCCGCGTCCGCCTCCGCCTCTGTGGCAATCCACAAGTCCCGCATGGCCTTGATGTGCTGCGCAAATGCCATGATTGAAGGGTCCACGGAGAAAGTGGCACAAAGGTGCACCAGGTCGAAGCCACCACCGCCACCGTTCCCCCCCTCGTCGTTCCCCCCCACAGCGACGGCAGATGAGACACCAGCCGCCTCACCGCCGCCACCGCTATCCGTGACATCAACCCCATACTCGTCGTCCTCTTGGTCTCGAAGCTGGGCGCGCGAGGGCCGATTCTGTGAAGGCGGCGGCGAGTCCACGGCTTGGCCGTCCGTGCCGCCGCCGCTGACGCCGTACGGACCGAGCGGTGCCGCCCGTTCGTCATGGTGCCCGTCCACAGCCCAGTGAAGCTGACGTCGGGTGCCGATGGCCGCGTCGCCGCCGGCGCCATCGTCCCTGCGTGATACTGCATTTCCGTTCGTTGCTGCTACTGCGGTAGCAATGGCGGCATCGCCGCTGGCACCATGGCAACCACTGCCGTCGCGCGGCGGCGGATGCTCGAGGGGTACCCTTAGCAAGCCCTGGTTGTGGAAGGCGCGAGACAGCAGGGATCGAATTCCTGACGGGTCCTGGCTGTAGCTTAGAGATCCGGCACGCTTCTTCACGAAGAGCAGTAGTTGCCGATAAATCGTCTCTAACGCGCTACAGCCGCCGCCGGCAACTCCAGCTGTAGCTCCAGGCGGCGGTACGACCACACCGCGCACTGCGTTATGGAAGCCGTTAGCGCCGCCGCCACCGCCGCTGCCAGCGAGCGCTGGCGGCGGCGCCGTCGCCGCTGCCGCGGCCCCGATCGGACTCGAAGCCCACACGCCAATGGGCTTCACTGCGCCGCCGCCCCAATTTGCACCCCCGCCATGCAGCGGTGTCGTAAAGGGAAATTGTCCGTACGGCGTCTGAGGCGGCGGCGCCGCCGAAGCACCTGGAAAACCTGTTTGCAGCGCAGCTTGCGGCGGGGCCCCGCCTCCAGAGCTCACATGGCTTAAGGGTGCGGTCGCTGCAAGTGTCGCCGCCGACGCAGCCACGTTGTTCAGCGCCGCAGCTGCGCCGGTGCCGTCAGCGCCCGCAGCCCCCCGAGAGCTCCAGTCCAGGAGTTGTGGCCAGTACCTAGGACCCCGTACAGCTACCCGTACAGTCTGATGCGGCTCCGGCAGTAGCGCCGGCGCAACGCGTTCGTACATCATCAACTGTTGCTGCTGCTGTTGTTGTTCCAAAGTTTCCTGCTGAACTTCTACGACTGCCGGCTGCGCATCCACCGCGGGACCGCTGGCCGGTGTCGCAAAGGCCGCCGCCGCCGCTGCCACCGTCAGGCCGGGCATGCCAGCGCCAGCGCCAGCGCCGTCGGCCGCGGTCGGCGACCCGATGACGCCTGAAGCGGAGCCCGGCGCCGGCTTGGCGGCGGCAGCGGCGCCGGCGCCGGCGTTGGCTGCGGTGGCAGCTCCTCGCAGAATGTGGGCAGGTCCGGGCGAATCTCCCTCCAGATGAAGGGCCTCGAGCATCGGCGGCGAACCGGATGCACCGCTAGCGGAGGCGGCGGTGCCACCACCTCCGCCACTGGCCGCGACGGCGGCGGCAGGCCCGACGCCGGGCGCTAGCTGACCAGCCGGTGTCCATGGAAGGTTGGCCTTGGTTGAGGCCTTGGTACGACACAGCGGCCGGCGGAGTTAAGGCACCGCCGGGTCAACGGAATAGCACCGGGCTTAGAAAATGGAAAGAATCCAATAGGACAGGTGAAAGGCGAGAATCTGACTGAAATGTGTTTCAACGAGGTGACTTCCTGGATCTCTGCTGTGCACCTAGATAGACAGACACACAGACAGACAGACAGACGACGGATACACCACAAACCTGGAGCGTGCAGCCAGGACCCCCTAGGTCCTATGTAGCAGTAGCGGTAGCAGCAGCCGTAGAGCGCAGTAGCCAGAGGGGAGCAAAACCCACACCACATCAAGTACATTTTGTTAACGCACCTTGAGCACTGAGGAATCCTCCATGGCGGGGTCACCGCCCATAGAGCCACTGAGACCTCGAACACCAGCACCTCCTCCTGCACCTCCACCGCCGCCGCCGGAAGCTCCACCTCCAACATCGCAGCCGCCGCCGCCGCCGCCGGGGTGCCCAGGCTGGCCGCCGCCTCTGGCGGCTGCAGCGGGCCCTGCCGCCGCCGCGGCTGCCGTACCCGGCGGCGTCACCCTCGGCGGCGTCACCGTCAGCTGCAGCGGCACATAGACCAGCTGCTGGGAGTCTATGTCGACGGCTTCCAGACAGCGCCTCCGAGCTGCCAGCACGTAGAGGTGCCGGAATACCTGAGGGGGTGCGGTGCAGGTGCAGGTGCAGGTGCAGGTGCAGGTGCAGGGCTCATGGACGTGTGGCTGGATGGCTGGATCGGTGAATGGAAGTGGGCAGATGTATTGAAGCAGTTTACTTGTGTAGGTGGTTTGGGGATTTCGAGGATTCATAAACCCTAAGTTGAAGCTAATAAGTAGCCAGATGTGAGTAACTGGATCTACAGTGGGTGGACAAAATGGGGTCGTATATATGTGTGTTGTGTGTGTGTGTGTGTGTGTTTTGATGATCTTCGGAGCCGCAATGAGGGAAATGCCGATGGGCGGTGGTACCGCATGGATAACTCCATACGGGAGCGAGCTCCGAATTGTCACCAGCGACGTGTGTGTGTGTGTGTGTTGGACTCCATCAAGACTGTAGACGCTGCTAGAATATGCTCGAGTACATGTTGGTTAGGAGAGAGCAGTGTCAAGAGACCGTAGAAATATGTGTTTGTGTGTGTGTGTGTGTTTGTGGATGCACAGACTGGTGGAAGGCCGACGGGGTGACGCACACATATATACATACATATCTACATACATACATATATATACATACATACATAAGCACATACACATACACAAAAGCACGCATGTACCTGCAGGTGGCAGCGGTTGTCCGTTGGCGTGTGTGGCAGGGTGGGAAACAGGGACACCAGCAACGCAGCCACTGCGGAGTTGGTGGTGGAGAAGGTGTGGGTGCCTGCGGGGAAGCAAGAGGAGGGAAGGGAAAAGTACGACTGAAGCCGGACGTGACCCGAATGCAGACGATGGGAGAGGGAAGGAGCAGTGGGAAGGAGGAAGACGAACTACGAACTAGTGAAGCTGATGCCGAGAATGGACTGATACACCGGGAGGGAGGGAGGGAGGGGTACACCCGGGGGGGAAAGGGGAGGGGAGGGGTACCCACGACATCCCTCCATCCTCCGCTGCTTTCCTCCCAAGCTCCCCGCCGCACCCCGCCTGGACCCCCTCACCATCATGACAAACATCACCCCCAAGTCCGCTCAACCCTATCGACTCCGCCCTCCTCCGCCCGCCACTTCAACCCTCACACAGCCCCCCAATACATCCTCTCTGATGCTTCCTTTTACCCCGCCACCCCTGCCTTACCCCCGCCCTTCCCCCTCCGTCACCCCTGCCTTACCCCCGCCCTTCCCCCTCCGCCACCCCTGCCTTACCCCCGCCCTTCCCCCTCCGCCACCCCTGCCTTACCCCCGCCCTTCCCCCTCCGCCACCCCTGCCTTACCCCCGCCCTTCCCCCTCCATCAGGCCGCACCCACCCGCCCTTCCCCCTCCGTCACCCNCTGTCTTACCCCCGCCCTTCCCCCTCGCCCATCAGGCCGCACCCACCCGCCCCCAGGAACAGAAAGCCCAGCGCCAAGCTGACTGCGCAGTGCGAGCCGTAGCCCACCCCCAGGCTGAGCAGCACGTGGTGGTGGCTGGGGTGGCGCCGGTTGCTGAGGGACTGCAGAAGGTGGAAGGTGGGCAGATGGCCTAGGAGGGGGGGGAGGGAGGGGGAAAGAGGGGTAGCAGGTGGGGCAGAACCAGGTTTGGCAGGTATACTTGGGTTGCTCGTCTCACGTTAGAGAGTGCGTGCGCGCGTGTGTGGGGTGTGTGTGTTGGGAGTGGGGGGCTGGGTGTTTGGTTTGCGAGCGCGTATGCGTGAGCATTGTTGGTTACCCGGTGCTTCTGCGAACGAGTACGACCCAACGCAAGAAGCTCCGTTCCCGCTCCTTCCTTCCTCCCGCCCCTCTCTTTCACCTCGTCCCTGCGATTCCCCCGCACAGCCACAAATATGCAGCAAACCCCGCCACACACATCATCATAATAGACCCACTATGCCCTTCTGCAAAGGACACCCTCCCCAAGTTTCCCCAGCCACCCTTACCCGTGCCTGCCATGACCACGCTCAACGCCAGCACCACCACACTGAGCGCGGCCTCCACAGGCGCCCGGTCCAGCCTCCCCACCGCCGCCGCGCCGCCACCCGACACCTGCCCCGCCCCCGTCACAACCGCCGCGCCGCCGCTGGCGGTCGACGACGCCGCCACCTCGGGCAGCCGCCTCTTCGCCGCCAACAGCGACAGAGCCACCGAACGGAGCGTCTCGTAAGCCCTGCTGTTGGCGCTACCTGCGGAAAATACATGGTTCATATAATTGTACGGGATTGTACGGCATTTCATACATGTTGCGTTGTGGGGCGGGACAGAACGGGATGGTGGTTCGACATATCAAATGATGGGGTGGGAAACTGCAGGTTGACAGAGCATGGCCTTAGGTGGGGATGGCATGGGGTATGGTAATGGTTGGCAGAGGCGGATGTCAGTGGGCCTGGGCAGGGCAGGGCAGTACAGGGAAGTAGAGGAAACCGGGCCCGACTAAGGGGGCCCCCGTGCGGGTAGGTGGGGTTTCGGAGCCTTGGATGTCGCTTGGAGTTAACAGTCGTCAAAGTGGGAAGTGACAAGGCTTGACAGACTGACAAACAGACGACACGGAAGGATGATATTTCCCATTAGAGCGACACGAAACACGCCATCACGTAACGTCCCTTACCTTCACAAGCACACGCCCCACCTCACATCGCTTCTTCCGTACACACAGTCGCACACCACACCCACTTCCTCATTACAGTCCACCAAAACACACACATGTGGACAGCAATAATCCCTTTTTCTCTCCCTCCCTCTCCCCTCTTTCCCCCTCACCGGCATACTTGAGTCCTATGGCCAGACACAGCCCCGAAAGAGCTGACACGTGGGCTATCGCCACGGAGTGTACGTCGCTGCTGTGGTGGCTAGCCCGCAGACGGAGCGCCCTAACCCCGCCAGGCCCCAGGCCCCCGGGGGCACCTCCGTGCAATTGGCCGACCACTCGGTCCACCAGCCGCTCCAGGGGGCCCTGAGCGGCCCACGGGATTTCAGTCTTAATCGGAAAGGGTTCGCGTCTTGTCGTCAGAAAGGTTAGTAAACCACATTCCGGCTCACGGACGAGCGCAGGGCTGGACGATACTCCCTCACACCCTCCCCACGCACCGACCCGGCCTTTCCATTCCAACTCAGCCCCATCGTCCCATCTTCTTGCAAGGCCCTCCCCTACACCCGACCCCAAATCTCCTCCTCCCGCCTGCTCCTCCTGCCCTTACGCTGTCCCAACCCAGATATCCTCTCACCCTAAACAGCGACGGCATGCTTTCAGCCAGCCAACCCTCCGACGGCTCGATGGAGTCCCACATCACCAGCGCGGCGCCCAGGGCGCGCAACGTGATGCAATCGGGCCTTACAAAATCCAGCCCAAAGGGCGTGTCGGGAAGCTGGAAGCGGCGGGCGATCGCTGCGTTGTTGGTACGGAGGTACATGAGTGCCAGAGCCACGGTGGCAGCGGGGGAAGTGATGGAGAGGTTGAGCATGTTGTCCGGCTCCAAAACCACCTGCGGAGCGTGCGCGCATGCACGTGCGTGTGCGTAGTTTTTTGGCTAGTAAAAGGTTTTCTATGTGTATGCGTATGTGTATGCGTATGTGTATGCGTATGTAGGGAGGTATGTACATGCGTATGTCTGTGTTGGGGAGGAGGAAGACCGCATGTGTACGAACACAGAATGCAGCGCCGGAGAAGATAGGGCTGCTCGGTATTGCCATTATAAGCGGAGGTGTGTGTTTCGACTGTGCGTATGCGTGTCTTGGACGACTAGCCCGGTCAGCAAGTGCCGTGGTTGACATGGTTTTAGCAAAAGATGATATTTTGTAACAATTTTGGTACCCAATTGCGCAAACTATCCCCTCCATCTCCCCCCCTCCACCCAACCCGGATCCTACCAGTGCGACTCCCTGACCGCCGCCGCCGCCACCGCCGCCACCACCGCCGCCATTGCCACCACCGCTACCGCCGCCGCCGTTGTCACCGCTACGCCCCGCCGCCGGCGTGCTCAGCGCCGCCGGCCCCGCGGGATCCCCCCCCCACAATGCTGCCGCATGCCCTAATTTTGCCCCTCCTGGACCCGGACCAAAGACACGGTCCAAGCCCGAGAATCCCCCCGCGTAGAAGTGGCCCCCGCCCAAGGCGCCGGACAGGCCACCGGCGCGGCGAGCGGCCGCGGACGCATCCGTACTGCCCAACATGTAATACCTGAGTACGGAAACGGCGCGGGGGAGACATGGCGCGGGAACCTGGGAGGATAGCGGATGACGTGTATGCATGTATGTATGTGCGCATGCGTAGGGGCCGGGCGGGGAGGCTGGAGGAGGACGCGAACACCCCCCCTTGCTTTACCATGAAATCCCAATATGGAACGGGATGCACGCAAAGGCCCTGCTTTGCTTCACACCCACAGCCCTGCCCTCCTCCTCTCCCTGCCCTCCTCTCCCTGCCTCACTTCGCCTTGCTCCCCCTTTCCCTCCTCTAGAGGGTTGCCTTTTCCTGGACCCCCTTCCCCTCTCCTCTCTTCCCCTCCCCCCTTCCCCCTCAGACACTCACGTCAGTCGTTCCTCCAGCTGCAAGTCCGCCAGCCCTGCAGCTGCACGGGTGCCTCCCAACCCCAACACGACCATTCCCAGCGCCATCCCGGCAGCCAGCGCGTAGCCCTCACGATCATGAGTCACCGCCAGCGGCGACGCCCCCGGCGGCAGCGATGCGCCGCCAGGCACGCTGCCGACGCCGAGGCCGCCGCCACCGCCGCCGCCACCTCCGGCGCCGCCACCGCCG